CAACCTCTTGTCTCCTAGGTTCAGGCAATTCTCCTGCCTTAGCCTCCCAAGTAGCTGGAATTACAGGCCTGTGTTACCACACCTGGCTAATTTTTGTATTTTTAGTAGATACGGGGTTTCAACCATGTTGGCTAGGCTGGTTTTTAACTTCTGACCTCAGGTGATCCACCTACCTTGGCCTCCCAAATTGCCGGGATTATAGGCATGAGTCACAGGGCCCGGCCTCTGGCTCATTTTTGTATTTTTTGTAGAGACAGGTTTCTCCATGTTGCCCAGGCTGGTCTCAGACTCCTGAGCTCAGGCATCAAGGAATCCACCTGCCTTGGCCTTTCAAAGTGCTGGGATCACAGACTTGCGCCACTGTGCCTGGCCTCGAGGCTGCTTTCTGACCAGTGCCGACGCAACTTGTCTATCATGTGCCCGTTTTATACAATGCTAAAGACTGTTTTAAAACCACAGAGTTCATCTTTATTCAATATATTTAGTAAAAATAAATTGAAAAAAGACTTAGTAAAAACTGAAAGTCTTCCCTTGTAGTCTCACTCTGTGGAGAAAACCACTGCTCACAGTTGGGTGTATATCTTTTGTATATTCACTAATTCATTTATTATTCATTGATTTATTCAACAAGTATTTATTGTGTAGACACTGTGAAGCAGGCCCTGGCGTGGGTGCTGAGGATGTCGCATTGCACTCTTAGGAGATATGTTAGCTCTCTCTTGAGTGGATTTTGGTAGGGGCAGACCTCAAATCCAACCACAGTCACCAAACGCAATACAAGGTGTTTTAGAAGAAACCTGGACTAGCTCAAAGTCATTTTCATTCCTGCTTAAATCTTTCCCAAGTTTAGTTTTCATTCCGCTGCCGCTATTATAGTGTTCTTATTTTTTGAGGTACATTCTGGTGAATTAAATATCCTTAGTAGAAGAGAGAGGTCCCCAGGAGGCTGTGGACCGTGGGAGCCTGTTAGGGCCCAGGGGAATCTCAGGGCTCTCTAATGGATATCAGTGGGAAGGGGGTTCTTGCTTGTGAAGGGTTTGCTGGCAACCCCCATTTTCTCTGTAGTGTGTTTGTGGGAATCCCGGAATAAAATGGATTGTTGTAGAGTGGAGCGTGTTTTTTCCACGGGAGCAACGCTGTTATTTGGGAATTCCATTCCTAGCTAGAGACTCAGACACAGATAAATTAAAGATTGTCTTAGCTGCAGAGCATGAGGGCCAGAACACCTCTGCTGCTATGGGCTCACTTCTGCCAAGGTGGAGTTCATGTTTGTCTTGGTTGCCACTGTTGGTTGGTTAGTTGAATGAGTGAACGAATGAATGATTTCAGATAGTGAAAAGACGCTTGTTGGGTTATGCCGGAGGCTGACAGACCTGTGGCAGGTGTCTGTTCCATGTCTAGCCACGGTGTGAGCTCAGGTCAGGTCCTAGCCTCTCCAAGTCTTTGCTTTTGTTTTTCCTTTATAAAATGGGGACAATGATAGGGCCTGCTCGTAAAGATGTATTTGGGGAGAAAATGAGATGGATTGGTAAAGCACTAGTGTCTCATCATCAAAGTTCTGTCTTAAATTCAGCCCAGATCCAAGCCTCCCACCTCAGAGCATCCTGGGAGGTCTGATCTGTTTTCCCTTTGCTAGCCCTTCCGATGTGCGAAGGCAAGACAGCACCAGGCCCCGTTGTTTTTTGGTCCAGGCCTGGTATCTCAAAAGTTCCGGGTAACTCGGTGGGAGAACCAGGCTTGGGCTCAGGATCTTTACTCCAGAGCCCATGATGCTTGCAAGATGTGGCCTGGAAAAAGCGGCTGAATGAGGATACCCAGCCTTGTCCGGCTTTCCTGGGCCCTCCAGGATCTGGAAGGTTCTTCCCACTGCAGATGTAGCTCCTCAGTCTGGCTGCCCTGGTGGGAACCTGTCTTTCCTCCCCTAATGACTTCGTGTGCATGGGATTTGCGTCGTCAGCTCTCTGCATAGACCAGGGTCACAGCTATCAGAATGGCTGCTGGGCCTGGGGTACATGTGCACCCTGGTCACGGGGTGGTCACACAGAACCCACTTTCAGGAACGCCGAGTTCTGCCCCCTCCCAGATGCCTGGGGACCCTGATTCCTCCACTGAGTTGCCACCCCTTATGATGGGGCACCCATGGCACACAGGTGATCCTTCCTAAAGGAAGGCGGTCTGGTAAATGGCCTTTGTCCTCTGTTATTTTAGTTTATATAATTTCTCCCTCAACTTTTTGAAACATTCTGTTAAATTTTGTTGACACATTGTAATTGTGACACAATTTTGACACATTTGGCAGTTATCAAATGTGGAACAATTTAATGTTTCAATACACTTATGTGTTGTACAATGATCAAATGAGAGTATTAGGGTGACCGGATCTCCCACACTCGTCGCTTCTCTGTGATGAGGACATTCAGAGGCCACTTTTCTAGCTATTTTGTATTTTACAGTAACTTCCTGGTAACCATCATTACCCTGCTGTGCAAGAGCAGCAGAATTTATTCCTCCTATCAGATTGTAACTTGTACTGTGACCCCTTGACAACCTCTGCCTTCTTCCCCTCCTCAGTCTCGGGAACCACGGTTACATGCTTTGCTTCTGTGGTACCAACTCTTTATTTTTTTAGCTCCCACATATGAGTGAGATCATGTGGTATTTGACTTTCTGTGTGTGGCTTATTTCACTTCACCTTGCTGTCTGCTGGGTCCGTCTGTGTGGTGGTGTTGCAAGCGGCAGGGCCTCATTCTTTTTCATGGCTGCTAAGCACCCCACTGTGCGTATATACTCCTTTGATCCAGTCCTCTGCTGATGAACACTTAGGCTGATTCTGTGTCACCACCATTGTGAATAGTGCTGCAATAAACATGGAATGGCGATACCTCTTTGACGGGCTGATTTCATTTCCTTTGGATATTCTGTACTCACTAGGGGGATTGCCAGATTATATGGTAATTCTGGTTTCAATTTTTTGAGAAACCTCTGTGCAGTTTTCCATAGTGGCTGTCCTAATTTGCAATCCCGCCGACAGTGTGTAGGCATTCTGTTTTCTCCACGTCCTCACCCGCACTTACTTTCTTTTGTCTTTTTGATCATGGCCATTGTCACTGAAGTGAGGGGGCATCTCATTGCGGTTTTGAGTTTATTTCCCTCATGACTAGTGATCATGAGCGTAGTTTTATGTGCCTGTAGGCTGTTTGAATGTCTTCTTTTGAGAAATGCCTGTTAAGGTCTCTTGCCCATTTTAAAATCAAGTTACTAGTGTTTTTGCTGTTGAGTTGCTTACATTCCTTATGTATTCTGGATATTAACCCCTTGCCAGATAGCTGCTTTACAAATATTTTCTCCCACTCTGCAGATTCTCTCCTCACTAGCTTGTTTCCTTTGTTGTGCAAGACCTTTTCTTTGGATATACTCCATTTATTTCTTTCTGCTTTTGTTGCCTGTGCTTTACAGTTTTATTTAGAAAAATCCTTACTCAGCCCAGTGTTACTTAAAAATCCCTACTCAGTCCAGTGTTACGAAGCATTGCTTCTTTGTTCTTCTGGTGTTTTTTTTTCATAGATTCAGGTTTTACATTTAAGTCTTTAATATATTTTGAGTTGACGTTTCTATATGGTGAGAGGTAGGGTGTCTCATCTCCTTCTGCTTGTGGGTGTCCAGCTTGTCCAGCACCATTTATTGAAGAGACTGTCTTTTCCTGAGTGTATGTTCCTGGCATCTCTGTTAAAAATCAGTTGGCTGTAGGTACATGAATTTATTTCTGGAATGTCTGTTCTGTTCTATTGGACAAATCTATTGTGAGTTTGTGATGGGGACAGTATGGAAATCTATAAAGAAGGAAATAATCTACAGTTACTGCCTGCAGATATCCATGCATACATCTAAGTGCATAAACATTTAAATCACATCGCTATCAAATGGAACAATACAGTTTTATATGTTACTATTCTTTTCACTTGCAATATTATGATTGTTTCTCAGTTTCTTAAATAACCTTTGATAATATGATTTTTTTGTTCTGATTTGGTATGAATGACTAACAGTTTAATGAACATTCTCCTATTAACATTTGGTTGTTTTGATTTTTCTCTATTATAATAAAGTTTTACTGAATATTCTTGCACATAAATCTTTGCTTCTGTCTTTGATTATTTTCTCTGAATAGGTTCAAAAAGTGGAATTACTGGGTCAGAAAGTGAGATTTGAAAGCTTTTGATATACACGAAGGCAAAGGTGATATTGACTCATACCCTTCTGCAGGATAGTAGAGTGCTCTTTTGACGGCAGATTCATCGGTATTGAGTGTTACCCCAGTGTTTTCTTTTTTTTTCAACTTTGGAATTAGCTTTTAAAAATCTGCATATGTAAATGGTCATTAAAATGTAGGAATAGATGGAGCTAGGACTGGAAGATGACGGTGGTGGAGAAATAGGGGGCAGAGTCCATGGTGTGTGTAGGTTGGGAAGCGGCTGGCTCAGCCTTCCTCCTCCTGGATGAGGCTTTGCTCCCGAGCCAGTGGAGAAGGCTCCCCAGGCAGCCCTGGGCCTTCCCTTTCTCAGCCCAGGTTTTTTACAGGCCTGCTCTGCACCGGATCCTGAGCTAGGTCCGTGGGGCTGCTGTCCTCTGGATGGGACCCTTTGCTCGTGGTGCTGTTCAGGCTGTATTTTGCTGGTCGCCTTGACAGGCTTGTGTATGTTCAGTGTGTTCGCAGATGGTTCAAGGTGACGCAGTAAAGTAAGGAGCAGCGGGGCTGGCCGTGTTCCTGCTGGAGAGGAGGGACGCCATGCAGGGGAGCAGGCTGCAGGGGCACACGTGTGACTTTGCCTTCTGCAGTCTATGTTCTTTGAGTTGTTGAATATAAAAACTGCCCCTGGAGGAGGTTTGGGGCAGAATTTGGACTGCCAGTGAAACCTGTGTTTGCCTAATTGAGGTGGAGGCTCAGCCTGGCCCCTGTCTGAGGATCCCACGCACTCTTCTTTGCTGCAGGCCCAGGCTGAGGCTGGGGTGGGTGGGGGTCCTTGGTGGCTGCTGGTGGGTGTTTTATTCCCAAGGGTGATCCTTTTTGCACCCTTGCTGTTTCAGGCGACGCTCTCCGAAAGCCTCGCCTCCAGAAGCCTCTCACGGGGCACTTGGACGACTTATTCTTCACACTGTACCCCACCCTCGAGAAGTTTGAGGAAGAGCTGCTGGAGCTCCTCGTCCAGGACCACTTCCAGGAGGTGTGGAGTTGGAAGCCTGATGGGGGGGCCAGCGTGGGGCCAGGCAGGGGTGGAGCCCTGTGGGGGCAGGGAGGAGGTGGGGCAGGGTAGGGGGTAGGTAGGGCAGGGGAGACCCCATGTCTCATGCTGCTGGGGAGGGCTTTGTGGCCATAAGTGACATGGTTATGTCGTTCCCTGCTTTTTGGAGCTGAACTGGACCTTTAGGGACCCCTTTCCTCCGCAGCAAAGGCCCCCACAGAGCCTCTAGCTGTTGTTTTAACTTGAACAGTGACAAAGGTGCTGTTGGCCTGAGATGTTAATTAATGTTAATTCTGGTAGGTCATAAAATAGTCCTCATTTAAAGTAAACTAAGTCAGGGGATGAGCATAGGGAAACCCATGGAACCCTTCCCACGTTCCGAGGATGTCAGCGGGGACATGGAACTCATTTCCGGAGGTGGCAGGAAGCCTTGGTCATCTCACCCACCCTGGCCCCTGGGAAGGCGCCCCCAGCCTCACTGTCCCCTCAGCCTGCCTGTGGCACACATCCTTGCGTTCTGGTCACTGAGAGCCTGTTCATACTTCCTGCTGTTCTTGTCTGTTGCTTTTCGGTGTGTGGGTTTGTTCAGGTGTCCTGGCACGGTGTCTAGGGGGTTGCCTGTCTGTTAGGCAGAGGCTCTCTGTCCTGTTTGCCTGTGGCCCCTGGGAGGGACGTCCGCATTGTGCAGGCGCCTGGAGCTCAGCCTGCCTTGCATGCAGCATGCACTGTGGTTTCCTCTCTGGCCCCAACCCAGCGATGCCCCAGCTTGCAAGCTGTAAAACACCAGGGCCAGGGAGGTTGTCTCTGGACCTCCCGTCACCTCTGACAGCAAAAGTTATCTAGGATTTTCTGTGCAGAAGCGTGTTTGTATGCCAGCATGTCTTGGAAAAGCCTTTGCGGGTTTGGGGACTGCTTGTGTTTTTTAGGTGACAGTCTGTCCGTGGTCTGGAAAAATTGGACCTGATGAACTGTCACAAATGCTTTTGGAGTGAGGTCTGTCCACCCTGGTGCTTCTGTCCCCAGCAGCAGTGGGAGCAGGCATGTGGGACGCAGACTGCCTGGCCTGCTGGGGTCCCGAGCCCAGCCCCCTTGCCCTCACCTTTGCTGATGGTCACCAGATGGAGTGGGGAGAAGAGGGGTCAGCTCTGGCTGCTCTCAGCTCTGGAAGGAGGGGCCCTCAGACCTGGGTTGTGGGCAGACCACTCCTTGTTCCCCTCCTAGGACAAGAGAGAGTCTTCACTTTTGACTTTAGAAACAAAGAGAAAGTTTTGTCAAAGATCAGATGGTTGTAGATGTGTGGCATTATTTCTGAGGCCTCTGTTCTGTTCCATTGGTCTATATCTCTGTTTTAGTACCAGTACCATGCTGTTTTGATTACTGTAGCCTTGTAGTATAGTTTGAAGTCAGGTGGCATGATGCAAAAACAAGCAATGGGGAAAGGATTCTCTATTTAATAAATGGTGTTAGGAAAACTGGCTAGCCATATGCAGAAAGCTGAAAGTGGATCCCTTCCTTATACCTTATACAAAAATTAACTCTGGATGGATTAAAGATTTAAACATAAGACCTAATACCATAAAAACCCTAGAAGAAAACCTAGGCAGTACTGCTCAGGACACAGGCATGGGCAAGGACTTCATGACTAAAACACCAAAAGCCACAATAGACAAATGGGATCTAATTAAACTAAAGAGCTTCTGCACAGCGAAAGAGACTACCATTAGAGTGAACTGACAACCAGCAGAATGGGAAAAATTTTTTGCAGTCTACCTATCTGACAAAGGGCTAATATACAGAATATACAAAGAACTTAAACAAGTTTACAAGAAAAAAAGCAACCCCATCCAAAAGTGGGCAAAGGATATGAACAAACATTTCTCAAAAGAAGACATTTATATAGGCAACAAACATATGAGAAAAAGCTCATCATCACTGGTCATTAGAGAAATACAAATCAAAACCACACTGAGATACCATCTCACACCGGTTAGAATGGTGATCATTAAAAAGCCAGGAAACAACAGATGCTGGAGACGGTGTGGAGAAATAGGAACGCTTTTACACTGTTGGTGGGAATGTAAATTAGTTCAACCATTGTGGAAGGCAGGGTGGTGATTCCTCAAGGATCTAGAACTAGAAATACCATTTGACCCAGCAAGCCCGTTACTGGGTACATACCCGAAGGATTATAAATAATAAAAAATAAAAAATATTGAATAATAAATACAATGATATCTTCTGTTATAAAGACACATGCACACACATTTATTGCGGCACTGCTCTGTAGGAAAAGATGGTCAGGGCCAGGCCTGTGTTACTTACAGTTAAAGGATTACAGGCTTGCTTGCTTTTTATACCCTGAGATTTGTGCCACGGATCAAACACTGAATTAAGAAAACTCCAAACTATGGTGCAGTAAAATAAAAGCAGAGATCAAGTGGTAACAGGAGGCCTCTAGTGAAGACTGTCTGAGAGCTTCATAACCGCGGGACGCTGCGGTGTGGTTGCGAGGCAGCAGAGATGGCTTCGGTCCCACGATCTCTTCCCAACACACAGTCTGCGTGAGGGTCTCCTAAGGAGGGCTTGTGTGAGAACTCTAGGAAGGAATGCAACCTCTGCTCACAAGACTCAGGAGGGCCTTTGCAGACGGGAGCTTGCAGGACAGGGAAGTCTTGCAGGGCAGAGAGAACTGGAACGCCACAGGCTCTGCCTGTGTTCTCAGAATATGGAGTATTTCTGACTGCTCTGTGTCACAATGCTCAGGAGATAAAAGCCCCTTGATGCACGGTCTGTGCTCAGACCTTATGGCGTCTTATCTGCCTCATCTGCTGTGCCTCTTGGCACATGCACCTGGATAAACAATCGGTGGTAAAACTCAGGGTCCTTAGTTAGCATTTCTTAGAAGAACCGCGTTTGCTATTGATGCTGCAGACACATGCTCTTCCCCTTCATCTTCCTTCTTACCTTTCCCCGCAGCCTGCAAGATTAACAAGATGATGCACCCAATAAAAGCGTGTGCAGCCCAGAGCCAACTCGGTTCACCCTGCACCGAGAGAGTGCGTTGGCCCCCGGACCCACGCTGTTGAATTCTACTCTTGTCCTTGTCTTACTTCTTTTCTCACTCCCTCATCACCGCTGGAGCTCAGGGCACCCACGTACAGGGTTGGGCTGGTTCCCAACATGTTCACAATAGCAAAGACTTGGAACCAACCCAAATACCCTTCAGAGATAGATTGGATAAAGAAAATGCGGCACATATATATACCATGGAATACTATGCAGCCATAAAAAGGATGAGCTCATGTCCTTTGCAGGGACATGGATAAAGATGGAAACTGTCATTCCCAGCAAACTGACACAAGAACAGAAAACCAAACACTGCATGTTCTCACTCATAAGTGGGTGTTGAACAGTGAGAACACATGGACACAGGGAGGGGAACATCACACAGCAGGGCCTGTCGGGGTTGTGGGGCTAGGGAAGGGATAGCAGGGGAGGAGACTAGGGGAGGGATAACAGGAGAAATACCTAATGTAGTTGACGGGGGGACGGATGCAGCAAACCACCATGGCACATGTATACCTATGTAACAAACCTGCGTGTTCTACACATATACCCCAGAACTTAAAGTATAATAATAGAAAAGGAGAAACTTTACCTGCAGAGAGCCAAGAGACTGGTGTGGGTAATGTCTTGCTATTGCTTCGAGTCCTTTTCATTCACGCCCTTTTCAGGATGAATCCCACAGAAGTGTGTAGTTGCGTGACTGCATGACACGAGGAAGGATGGTGGAGGGAGGCCCTGTGCCCAGCACCCACAGAGCCCCGAGGGCAGAGGGAGGCCCTGTGCCCGGCACCCACAGAGCCCCGAGGGCAGAGGGAGGCCCTGTGCCCGGCACCCACAGA